AGAAAATAAATACCAGCTTCCAAGACAGTCACACAAAGGTTTGCTTTAACATTCTATTCTAGTGTTCAAAGTCAAATGTATTTTACTGATGTAAAGAATTTTAAAACGTGTGATGACAGTATATCTGTATAGTAATTAGACATACATAGGCACTTATATAGCAAAAAAATCTAAATGTTGGCCATGAATATTTGTAAATGAAATTTCTGTAAATATTGTCTAAGTTGGTATTACTGTGACTAGAGGCCAATTATGGAAGATTGGATTTGGAGTATGCTATCTATATGAGGGTCAATCATACATTTTTTTCCTATCTAAGACTAACTTCTTTTCATATCTACACTATTTTATCACTTCTTTAAGCACATACCTTTCCCAAGGGTTGTTCTACTTACAGTATGTTGCCTTCTGACATTCTCATTCACATTAGTTTTCAGGAAACAGCAAATACATAATTTTATATTACTACATTCATAAATAGTGTTGTTGCACTTAATCCTCTCAATACCCATGTGAAATATTCAAGTAAAGTACCATTACACTCTTTTACAAATAGAGGCATGGACAACTGTCATTATTATAAGCAGTGTGGGAGGTAGAGTGGATACCTCTGATTTCAAATCCTGGGCTCCCTGAACTATGACAAGTCTGTGTGTAAATATTTATAACGCCTAAATACAGACACACTGATTAACACAATCACAAATTTTATGTATGTGGATAGCTATTAAAAGCCGTTTATAATGTCAACATATCTTAGTAATGATTCTCTACAACTTAAATGCCTTTATTGAACTGTCCTGTCACTAAAGTCCTAGGAGAGGAGTGTCTTGATTGACAAACCATGTTTTTGTAGCTTCTGTGATTGTCCTTCCTTAGGGAGGCTTTGAACTCCCATCTGCCAAACTCTCTTGATTGAATGTACTTGATGGAATTCTTTGTTGACTGGGGCTTTCTACATGCACTGTGATTTCTTCTTTGCTGATTTGTTATTTGCTTCTCTCAACTCCATTATCAAGAAGGTTATTTTTGCCTTCCTAGTAACCTCATTAATGCAGGATGGTGACAGATAAGGAAAGAACAGATATCAACAGAAAGAAAAAACTGAGTTCGCCAAGATTCTTTCTTCCTTTTCTTTTTTTTTTTTTTTTATGAGAATCACACCATATTTGAAACAAACTCTTTGGGCAGAAAATTCTCTTTTTCATTAATCACACCAATATTATCTTCTTTAGCTAGAATAAATGTAGCTATAATCATTCATAAAATAGTGAAATTCTGCATGATATAGTCAACCTCAACTCATATCTTGACTGAAAAATTTTTCAGGATATTATCTTGCTACATTAATCTTTGTCATCTTTTCATTTGTTAACTTATTTTGTTCCTATAAAATACATCAAGTGAAATATGCGTTATCTGAACAGGAGAAATTGTCTTGTGTTTGCATCCCCTATAGTTGCCTGAGTTGACCCATTTTTTCTTAATACCAAGGTGTAGTAAAATAAGAAGGAAGAAGTGAGTACTCTCCCACTGAAGATGGAGAATGCTGGGAAATAAGCTAAGACATTCTCTGTATCTCATGATTCTCCCTTTCTGCTTTTTCTCCACTTTAACCATGGTAGCCTCCAACTGGAAAGGTTTGTTTAAAAACAGGCCATTTCCAGAGCAAAGGAAAATGAATGAGATAGGAAAGGGGAAGTTCTCTAGACATTTTTTCTGAGTACATTTTATGGAAGTTAACTCAAGTTTTGCATATGACAGTTAAACTTTCTCCTCCTCAGAAAAAAACATCCTTTTTGTTTGTTCTCCCATGTCATCTTGAAAATGGAAGATAGAAGAAAAATTACTGCCTTTCTCACATCGCATAAGCCACTGTTATGAAAAGAATGATGGATTAATACAGCAGGCCACCTCTAGGTGTTACCCTGTGGGGATAGGCACAGATGTGTGTGTGTGTGTGTGTGTGTGTGTGTGTGTGTGTGTGTGTATGTCACATAAGCTCATGGGCCTTACTTTAAAAGACTATATATTGATCAGTCATTTTCATTACTTAAATTCACAAATTACTGAAAATTCAACATTACTGTTATCATTTCAGATATCAGAATATGGGCCTGAAATGCATGATTAGTAATATTTAAATACTGTTGAAATGTCCAATGAACTTCAGAGTGTAGAGATGTGAATGATCATTCTGTGCTGGCTAAACTGGGTGTCCCTGTTCTGACACCTTGTGCCTTCCCTGTCACCGAGCACCTGTGGTGCATCAAGCGTTTGCTGCTTCAGAGTGCATCTCTGCTGTGATCTCACAGCTGACTCTCCTAACTAAACTGCCCAAGTAAGAAAAATTTTTTTTTCAGTTTACTCTGCACTGCCTTCGTATAATTTGCCATCATAAAAATGCTTCTTCACCTGCTCTCTATAAAGGTTAAGAAAAACCAAACAGAAGTTTTATAGACATTTTCAAGTGAGTACACACACAGATACTAGCAGATCCTCTCCCACACCATATGACACAACTCATAAAATCAGTAACAGTTATATCTCTGATTAGGAGAGACATCTTGAGATGAGCTTGATAACGATATTATGAATGACATTCACCACACCAGAGAGTTTGGTTAACTGACCAAATTATATGCTCTCCTAAGAAATACCAAAAGAGGCAGCTTGGAAGGCATGCTGATACTGAGTTATCAAAAAACAACTATTCCTATAACGAGCTATAAAGGTCAACAGCAAGCACAACAGAATAACAACAGCTTGTCAAACCTGACAGCCTATCCATTTGTTTTATTTTTCCTACATTTTTATTCATTTATCCTCCATGGAAAAAATGATGGCAGACTTCAAACTACTAAAAATTTAAAATCTTTATATATTCTTTGATGACTACTGTGTTCTTTTGCCTGCACCACCATCCCTTATATTGCCCATCCTTGGCCTCCAACTGACTTATACCAAACCCACACTTACACCTGTTTACAAATACACATGCGCAGACACACACACACACACACACACACACACACACACACACACAGACACTATTGCTAGGATCCACATCTGAAAGAGAACATGGAGCCTTTTCTTTCTGAGTTTGGGTCACCTCACTTAATATCATATTTTCAAGTCCATTCATTTTCTGTAAATTTCATGATTTCATTTGTTTTTTCAAATTCAATATTAAAAAGCAGCCTTCAACTATACCAACAATATACCCTCAGAGAAAGAATTCAGGAAAAATATTTCAGTCATAAGAACTTTAAAATAAACTCCATTCGTCTTCTAAGAAGGATCTATTTATATGTGTTAATGCTAGGCACTATATTTTAAATACTTTGTAAATGGAGTTGTTGATATGGTTCTTAAATTTGCTACCTACTGCATAATGTTACAGGAAACTTATTTAAACCAAGAAAATGCCCTTAGTTCTAAGTGTTCTTAAAATGAGAAATTCTGCTGTCAACATTACATTTGCCATTGCGCAATAAGAAGACAAAATGACCAACAATGTCATACAAAATTCAGACCTTCCTTTTGGTTCCAGATTCTAGTAAATTCTCCACACATTTAAAAAATTTAAGAATTCTACATACATTTTAGCTTTTGGTCTTTCCATAATAAGAAAGACTACGCAACTGAAAAAAAAAAAAAAAAGACTTATGTAATCCTCACCCATGTATGTGTTAATTGTTGGTGGCAATGCAGACTTCAACCCCAACATTTTATTACATATTCCTCTCACGTCAATAAAGTCACTTCCTCTGAAAATAGGTTTTGTTCCTTGTTTGTTTTATGACCTGAAGATTCAGGATTGGTTTTGAGTGGTCTTGGTGCGAAACCTACCTTTTGATCACTTATTTATGAATATGATGTAGTCATTCAAGACATCACTGCAGAATTGAATAAACACTCCGAGATCTTCAGTAAAAACAAGATTAATTTACATTAAAAAGTAGAGGCTAGTGAATACTTTTATTTTAATGTTAGTCAATTTACCGCGATTAGCAAACTCTTTTATTTTGCCACACATAAAAATATTCTAATAACCAACTCAGTGTGAAGGCTAATTTCTAATTGTTGTTAGTCATTTTAATTACATGGAGATGGCATCATTTTCCTCCTCAGGAATTTTCTCCTCTCAACCTCATTATGGAAAGAAAACAAAACACCCCACAAAAAACAAATTGTACCTCTATGTTTAAAGCCGTTCCTACATCCCTCCCATAGTGCATGTGGTGGTATTTAAACACCTACTGCTAACTTGGAGGACTCCTCCTTTCCAGGCTATTAGCAATCGCTTCACATCTTTTCTGTTCTGTTCAGTACTGAGGGAACTTCTTAGGAATAATACCTGTTATTTCCAGAACGAAAATAACACCTCCAAGTTTGACTTGGCACTGTTTCCAGATAAGGCACGGCATTCAATTAGGGGTACTTAGGATTTGGGGTGAGTTTTGCAGTATGTTTCAGGTGCACTTTAAGGGTCTTGGAAGATCATGAACCTGTGCTAAGTGACTTTCAGGTTGGGCATTTTGCCTAACAAAAGAATCTGAAACGGTAACCTACCTTTATGTGACAGGCGTAGTCTGGGGTAGGAGGGGTCCGCCGTGAGACCCGGGGTCCAGAGCTCCAGCAGATGAGCCCAAAGCAGCAGGGTGACGACGCGTCCGGTGGGTGCCATGGTGCTTGCTGTCTCCCCTGCAGTCCTCCCAGCCTCAGTTTAAGGCGGGACTGAGTTTTACTTAGGACTTCTCTCCAGGGGCAGCTGAGGGCGACAGGCTTTGTCACAAACAGAAGGGGTTGTCATCAGAAAGCACCATTCCCAAGTGCCATTTGCTGGGCAGTGTTTGGATCCGGAAAGCCTTTCTTTCCTTGGGACAGAAGCGGGGAGCGCGAGGGCATTCCAAGGAGCGCGTCTTCCGCGGGGGATCCTGGCTGTCGCGGTCGCCGTCAGCTAGCCCAGGGGGTGAGGAGGAGGCTGGGACTGACTTCAGTCTCCCGGCCAGCGATTCATTGAGAAAACACCCGGAGCAGACGCGCAGCCTCCCGCGAGCCCTTCCCCAGCCTCCCAGAAGTCAGCCTCCTGCACTGACTTGCCGAGCAGCTAGTTTTATTTCACCTCTCCTCCCGCTAATTAATAGCAAGAAGTGCGACTCGCGCCAGGAGCACTGGATCCACCCAGCAGGGATGCCGTCTGTCAGCGCGCTGTTTACAGCAAAGTTCAGGCAGGGTTGAGCCTTGCGCGCGTTTCTAGGAAGTGTCTCCGGCCCACGTGCCCCGCTCCATCTCTGCGGCTCGGACGCGCCCAGCTTGGGAGACAGGTCTGCTCGCTGATGGGGCGGGGCTCAGGGAGCCCTGCATAATACCCCCATTATTTAAGAATGTGTAAGAGAAGGACGTGGCCTCTGGAAGGCCTTTTAAATGCTTACTCACCAAGAGTGATCCTTGAATAAATTGTTCACTTTTTAAAATCTTCTGTCACCAAGCAGTACCCAAATTAATTTGTTCACTGTTTCCACAGAATCTTATTCGCAATTAAAGCTTTTTGTAGTGCTTCCATCTTAGATGTTACCCTTAACTCCTTTGAGGGAAAGTGTGTTTCATGAGCCTGAAAAATGTCTTTTATTATTTCGTAGATGTGTTTGGATGAAATTATTTGCCTTGGAGCCATATTTTTCTTAAAGCAAGTCATAAATTTCACTTCAAATTTAAGAAAAATTCCGTGTGGAGAATCTGGTGAGTGAGGTGACTATGTAAGTTGAGACTGTCTACCTGGTGGTCTGGGTTAGGCAGGTATTAGAAAACACAGGATGTGAAACACCATAGGATTCAGGGTTGTGCACATTCAGAGTTTATTTTCAGAATACTATGTTTATGTAAATAAGCTTAGCACAATAGGTCAACTTTTCATTCTACGTTCAATCAATCTCAAAAACTAAACCAAACACTCCAGAACTGTTGACATGGAAATCAATTGTATTATTTTAAGATAGCAATAAACTGCAATAGATATGGCTCTGACAGTTGAGAGTTAAATGTAAACAGATGGGATCAGCTATGGTGACTTTTTCCTAGTCTTTATCCTAAATGGTGATGGCTGTGGACAGGCTTTCAGAAATATGTGCTTAAAACCATGTGATTATAACAGAAAGATAACTCGGGTCATCCCAATATTCTGCATTTTATATATAAGCAAAAAGTCGACCAGGCATTCTTTAGTCATTTTTCAAACCATGATATGTTCTTATACAAGCAGAGTATATTTAGCAAAATGTAAATGTCACTGGATATTATAAATAATTAGATTTCCAGTGTCTACAGAAGATAACAAACTCTAAACACTATTTAAACTAAAACAACACGAAGACTTTTAACATGGGGTGGTCTCTGTTGGCACTTGCATATTTTAAAAAAGACAGGCTGATGAGCTACAGACCTAATTGTGATACATTATAATTTCTCAATCGTCTTTCACTTTATTCCAGAATGGAAGTAACTAGAACATTCATAGCAACTTGGTGTGCTAACTGCAAAATTCTAGGGAAAGCAAATGTGGGGCCTGTGGCTTTTTTTATAATTAATATCCTTATTCGGCTAAAATTCTTCTTGAGATTGTAGTGTCTGTCCTAACTCTACTATGGGATTAAGACAATACAAAATATGACAACTATTTCCTTAAGACACAGAGTCATGGCACTAAATGTCAGTGTGGGAATAAATGCTATCAATGCCAAAATTTCTCTTCAGTTTTGCTGAAGTATCCTTCATAGGAAGCTAGGGCAATCTTGAAATGCACACCAGAGTAATGGATGCTTTGGGTCCCTCAGAACGTTCTCTGGTATATTCTTCAATTGTGTTTCATTTTGTATTCCCTTTAATTCCTCCACGTGACCTTCTATACTTCTCTCTATTTGGTAGGAAACATAAAGATGATGCAAAAAATGAATATTAAAGAAACTAAGCATCCAGAACATTGGATGCTTTAAAACACTTCCATGTGGTTTTAGCCTATGCCTTAGGAGTAGTTTTTGAGACCCAATTGGCCACTCACATTGTCCAAGAAAATAAGAATAATTCTCAGAAGCATGTCTATCATAGAATTTATCACTTCGATATGGCCTTTCAGTAGATTTTTTTAAAGTAATCATATGCAAACTGAGAATAGTGTAGATAAATCAGGACATCAAAGTTTCACTACTTGGGAAAGGTTTACATTTACTCTTGGAAAACATGGAACTTGGATTTTTTTTTAAATCTGACTTACTATGAGCAGTAAGTGAAGCACTTTTGTGGGATGAGAGCCTTGAGGATTAGGAACAGTATCTGGTGATTTTGTGTTTGATTTAAGACATGGCAGGCTATCTATCTGAAGAATATATGACATCATGGAAAACGAAGTAAGCAGAGAAAGGCCAGTAATAAAGTCACTGCTTGTCAGGTCATTCCGAAATCTCTTACTCATGCTAATCTTATACCGTTGTATGAAGAATAATCTCAACCTGAAAGAGAGGACAAGAAAAGGCAGAATTAAGAAAACCAGACATTCCAGGTTCTCTATGGTAGGTAGGGGTGGGTATTTCAGTCACTGGTGCACCAATTTTATTAGCAGAGGAGCAACTAGCCTCTAGAACAATGCTTCTCAGTAGGTAGTCGCTGAGCATCTTGATGAATCATGTGGAATATTTGTTAAAAGAACAGAGTCCTGCTGAGTGTGGTTGTGTGTGCTTTTAATCTCAGCATTCTGGAGGTCAAGGGATACATAGTGATGCCAGCCAGTGCTAGAGGGAGACCCTGTCATCAAAAAAAAAAAAAAAAGAACAGATTCCTGTGCCATGAACCAGGTTCTCAATTTGCCTGAAGTTTTTAAAAATATATTTATTATTTATTATTTTATTTTATATGTATGAGTGTATTCCCTGAATGTACTCAAGTGCATCCATGACATGCAATGCCTTGGGGTCAGAAGGGGGCATCAGATCCCCTGGAAATGGAGTCATGGATGGGTGTTAGCTGCTATGTGTGTGCTAGGATTCAAACCCAGGTCCTCTGCAAGACAAGAGCAGCCACTGCTCTTAACTGCTCAGCCATCTCTCCCACCCCTTCCTGAAGTTTTCCACATCAAATTTTGTTTCACAGAGATTCCTTTTGTCAAGTATTATCTAAATATTAGACTTTAGTTTGCCACATTCACCAATTTTACTATAATAGCATAGGTCAATTAAAAGTTAACAAATTTATGCAAATTAAAAGTTACCTCATTGGATTGATGTGCTACTGACATATTTCAAATACATGCCTGATTAAATACAAATTGTGAACATGTATCTCTGCATCTCTTAAACATCTTGTGTACTTTGGGAGACTGTACTCCATTGGTGCCACTGGGAATATCCCATCTTACCTTCCTGGGCATATGGAAGACAATTCCCAGCCTCTTGGCAATATGTGAATCCATTTGGCTAATTTAAACCAATAAAATATGAGTGGAAGTCATAGGTATCATATCTGGACTGAGACAGTGGAATAAGAAGTCCTCAGAAATATTTTGTCTTTCTCAAGTATTTTCTGTAACAAAAGAGAAGGACTAAACAATGAAATGGTGGGGCAGGAGCCTGGAGCATCTTAGATTATTAAAACATCACTTTGGGAGCAATTTGCCTGGGTAAGTTACCCAGACCTACAAGAGATGTTATATAAAGAGGAATTAAAAGCTTTTGCTAAGCTATTAGCTTTGTTACCTCACCATAGCACAAACTCCCTGGGCTACATATACATACTTTACCTGTGGTGCTTTGGGAATCATGTGCTTGCACAGACACAGCATCTGCAAGTTACCATCTCTCCTTCCTGTCTGTCACTGACTTGCTTCAGCAAGAGTGACTAGTATAGCCAAAGAATGACGTGGATACTTGGAGGCTAAGTAAGAGGTTAATTCAATTCCGGGGTCACTTTTAGAATGGGATATGTCTTTAGCTTTCCAACTGAGTACTGTATTCAGAAGTGATGTCATAAAATTTATTTCCTTATGAACAATGTTCAGATCACACCTGAAGAACATGATTAATACCATTAATAGACCAAAGTATCACAATAGCAATGATGCCAAACCACTTTAGAACTAAAGATAAAATTTCTTTCTTGGGGAGCTGGAGAGATGGCTCAGAGGTTAAGAACACTGATTGTTCTTGCAGAATACCCAGGTTTGAATCCCAGCACCCACATGGCAGCTAACAACTGTCTCCAGTCCCAGGGGATCTGACAGCCTCTTCTGACCTCCGCGGACATTGCACGGTCGCACTTACCTACATGCAGGCAATACACGCATACACATAAAATAAAAATAATAAATAATAAATATTTTTTTGCAATTTCTTTCTTGGTAGCCATAGAATTTCAGCTTCACTAATCCCTCTTCTACTCCTGTTAGCCCTGCTATGCCAAAGATCTCCAGATCAGAGGCTTTCAAGTGTCCCAACAACCGGACCTGCTGCAGCGAGCTGTGGCCGCCATTGCTACTGCTGTGTTTTGCAGCCCAAGCCTGCTGATATTTTCGTTGGTCTTCCAGCTCAGATGACTTATCCCACAAGATATGTATCTATATTAACTATCTCTTTCCATTCTGTAATTCAAAAGGTTGAAAACAATAGCTACCTGAGTTATTCTCCATAAGTATGCTAGTATTTGTAGTACCAAGACTGTCACCCTGCCAATTAGTTCCACTCAGGACCCCCTTCTCTCACCTATCTGAGAGAGGAGGAACTGGTGACAAAATATCCTCATTTAGATGGCAAGTCAGAAAATCAGATTTTTATTAAGACCAGTCACTTGACAGGAGGAGGATGAAGAGGAGTAGGGGAGGAGAAAAGGGGGAGAGACAGGTAGAAGGTGAGATGATTCAGAGGAAAATAAATGTTCTTTATAAAATGTCCAAATTCTTTATTTCTGACTTAAACTAGGTTTATTTTCATCTTCTTTTGGATACTTGATAATTAAAAAAAATCAAAAAAAAAATATTTGACTCAGATACTTTTTTAATGGATGTTAACCAAAAAAATGTATGTTTCCCTTGCCCTTTTTACAGCAAAATGAAATTACTATGGATGGCATTCATTCTGAAAACTCTTTGTCATTTCCAACTATTATTTCCTTTCTCTGTGTGTTATAGAAAATTATTTTTAATGACAGTTTTATGTATTTTTGTTCCAACTTTGATGCTATATTGCTTTATGGTTTCTTGCCTGTTGTGATAGTCTGTGACTATTGGTGATGCCTCTGCTGAGCTGTTCCCAATGCTTTGG